CTTAGACAGCATCTTAAAAGCAGAGACATCACCTTGCCAACAAAGGTCCGCATAGTCAAAGCTATGGTTTTTCCAGTAGCAATTTATGGAAGTGAGAGCTGGGCCATAAAGAAGGCTGACTGCTGAAGAATTGATGCTTTTGAATTGTGGTGCTGAAGGAAGCTCTTGAGAGTCCCCTGGACTACAAGGAGAACAAACCTATCCATTTTGCAGGATATCAACCCTGAGTGTTCACTGGAAGGACAGATCCTGAAGCTGAGGCTCCAATACTTTGGCCATCTCATGAGAAGAGAAGACTCCCTGGAAAAGACCCTGATGTTGGGAAAGTGTGAGGGCAAGAGGAGAAGGGGATTACATAAGATGAGATAGTTGGACAGTGTCATCGAAGCTACCAACATGAATTTGACCCAACTCTGGGAGGCAGTGAAAGATAGGAGGGCCTGGCATGCTCTGGTCCATGGTGTCACAAAGAGTTGGACACAACTAAATGACTAAACAACATCAACAATATATTAATATTAATGTAATAATAAATAATTTTGGAGAAAGTTATAAACCTGCTTCTACCAGATAAAATTTGAAAAGGAAAAAAAAGTCAATACATTTTGAGTTTAATTTACTTTTTTTGGAGTTGGAAATAACTCTCCCTTCATGACTTCCCTCTCAAAAAAGCCCCCTCAGTGAAGAGTCCTTCCACCAGATAAAATTTGAAAAGGAAAAAAAAGTCAATACATTTTGAGTTTAATTTACTTTTTTGGAGTTGGAAATGACTCTCCCTCTCAAAAAAGCCCGCTCAGTGAAGAGCCCTTCCCTCTCAAGCCCAAATAAACACCTCCCCCCATGGACCCCTCCCTGTGCCCTACCCCTCCTCAATACTCCTCCTTCACCTTTTTGCCCCACTTGCCTTCCTTCACCATGATACAGGTGGGGCCTGAAGGCATCTTCCAGGTCCCCTCTCCCTTCACCACACCAGGAAGAGCCAGGGGCAGAGCAAAAGGTGACGATGACAACGCAGTAACAACTGTTCAAGCCTGCCACTATCTTTTGCATCAATGCTCTTGGCATGCACAGTGTGCTGTTCTCATTCAGGACTGTTTGAGCCAGGCTAACACTCAGGTTCAAAGGGCTAACATCAGTCCTCCAAAGGTGGATGCAGAGGAGGAGAGAAACAAGTGAGAACAGCTCTATTGGAAAGGATAGGAGTGATGCACATGCATAAAAGGAAAACCTGCTGAAATAGGGTACAGAAATAACTAAGACCTCTCGGTTGATTTTGTGAGTCAAGAGAATCCAAACAAAACAGCATTGTATATAATATATTTAACATAATGAATATAAAAATAAAAATAATTGCAACTAAAAATAATCATGGCAACCTCCCAGAAAACATTTTGTGATGTCCTTGGGGACCATGACCCCCAGGATGGGAAAACATGCCCTAGTGAGTTTACATGGCTGAGAGGGGATTTGAAGGCAGGTCTCCTGAATCCTAATCCATCATTCTATCCACTACATATTACACTGGTTCTCATCCTGGAAATAATATATTTTCTACTGGGAAAGGAATGGGTCTGACATGGTGTAGAACACCAGAGTTAATATGCTTTCTGTGTGGGAATTTGTGAGAGAGCCTTAAGATACTCCAGGCAACTGCAACAAAATATTATCCATAGTGTTTCACAGCCAGCAGAGTCTTTTGAAGATGAATAACCTATATGAGTTAATTAAATGCCAATTAACAGTCATCTTTAAACATGTTTTAACATGACATTCACTTTCTTTCTCATACCTCCTGCTGCCAAGTGAGGATGTTTTGCTAATTGCTGCAAACATACCACTGCACCAGATTTGAAAGCATGAGGAATGTTCACCAGAGTATTTCAACACCAGAATCATTAAAGAAACTATTTCCTGCATAGTTATCATGGTTCTACTACTTAGCCTAATGATCAACATCATTTATCAAAACATCTATTTTTTAAAAAAGAAATCTGTTTAAAATCTTATGCTAAAGTTTTTTTAAGAAATGAGTTTCACTCTGCATCCTGAAGTTAACTTTCATTATTTTCATCTCGCAAACAGCAAATGCGATCCATTCCTACAATTCCTCTCAACAATTTTAGATCAAACTTGCTTTAATAGTTCTTATTTTTACACTCATCTTTCTAGTGCATTCCAGCGTCGATTACTTTTCTTTAACTTTTCAACTCAGTCTGCATAGTTTTTAACAATAAGAATCACTACCATGCAATATACTTTCACCCAGATTAAGCACATTCGTTATTAATGGAAACAAATTTTATGAACGTGGACTTTATTCAGAAATATTTATATAGATTTCTGGGTGAGAAGCACATCTAAGGAAACCCAGTACTTACATACACATACCTCAAACAATTCCAGCAGTGAGTGCTGGAAGTGACCATTGTATAGTTACAGTTTCGCACTAATTGTGGGCAATAACATGGGCTTAAACACTATAAACATACGGACCCCATAGATCAGAAGCACAGAACATTATGTCTCAGTCATGATACAGACGTCTAGAGAAGCATTCCAAAACTGTTCATGAATGATGGGCAACACTGTATTCTAGGTGTTTGTAGCCTAACACTTCCATTAGCCTTGGCCGGCAATGTATTGCAGTGATCTCTATTTAATTAAGGTTTGTTCTTGCATAAAACATCTCTGCATCAACATATATACCGAAGAAGAGCTCCAAGGGATCAGTAGCATAATCCAGGTCTAAGAAGAGTGTGTGAGAATGAGTTCCTAGTGTCTATACACAGGAAGAGCAGGCCCTAGTTTCCTAGACAGTATGTCAGACTTTAGTCACACAAAGTCAATAACATTTTTAGTGTCTTTAATATTCATCATTAAGAACAGTGGAAGGTCCAAAAGGGTCTGGAACAGGCTGGTAAAAGGATTATGCAGGTCAAAAACAGGGGGGTAGGAAAGAGATCACAGCATTGTGGCAATGACTATTTTTTTACCTTCCCAACTTAAATTCCTAGCTTAAAAAAAATTGAAGGCGGCACATCTGAGAAAGATCCCTGCTTTGAAACTTTAGAAAACCCATAATCAGTCGGGAGGAAGAGTACTGGGCAAACCAGACTAACAGACAGTATTAAGAAGCTTCATGTGTTCAGACACAACCAGTTATAGAGAGAGTATTCGTCACTGTTCCAACAACAACAATAAAACCATTAACAAAGCAATTCTATACAAGTTTATTCAGAAGTAAGTCCCACTATATTCAATTGATCTTTCTGTCAGATGAGCCAATTATTAGACTGTAGTCAGATTTTCATTGCTGAACAGATATTTATTTATTCCAGCTAGTTAGATATCTCAGTGGTTTAGTTATCTGGCTACTGAGCCAGATGGTGTGGCCTTGGGCAAGAAGTACAAATCCCAGGGTGCCCACCAGAAGAAGGGAATGGTAAAGGTCTTCCGAGTATTCTCTACCTAGAAAGGGTGCCATAAATCAGAACTGGCATCATTCATCCATCCATCCATTTGTTCCAGTGAGCAAGCCCTTCATTGCTTTGGTTTTTGGATCTGTGTACAGACATTCAAGCAACATAAGTTTGAAGGAAACAGCCACTGGACAGAACTCAAGTCGATTAACATAATTTACCCAAAGTAGCAAGTAACAGTAGCACAATTCCATAGGGAACATCAGCAGATTACTACAAGAACAGACAAGAACCTGGGGTAACCTAAGAGCAAAAAGATGTAGAACAGAAAGCACAGATCTCATACAGGCACAAACAAAAAGAGTGTCATGTTTTCTCTCATCCACTACAGACACAATCCCTTTAAGGCTGCAACCAAAGATTGCAATATATAATGTCAGACTATTGGTTCAGCTAACCCTTGTGCTTATTCAAGCTAGCAGTAGACTCGCAGGATGCTGAAGCTGGGTAGTAATTCACATTTTCTTATTTGCTTGAAGTTTTAATACAGGGGACAATCGTTCAACTGAACAAGAACCTAATGTTTATACATCCACAGCACCCCAATCTAACCTTAGAGTTACCCAACATCATGTATCTCGATGACTAGAAAGACACCCCTTTCTAGTTAAGTAACAATTCTCTCCAATCAACATAGCTAGAATATGTGGGGTAGTTCTAGGCTCATGCTGGAGTACAGGGCCATATAAGCTTTGGGTCCTTATTTAGTTGAGCAACTGCACCCTGTAAAATGTTATGTAAAAAAGGAACTGAGAACTAGTAAGCAATTTCAACATTAGCTACTCCTGGCAAACTGGAAGATAACTAGCAAGAACCTGGAACCTTGTGCATGTACAGATTTCCAAAGGATCTAATCAAGAAAGCCTGAAGTACACAAAATACTGATTAGCTCCTATATAGCTAGATTTAAAACAAAACAAAAGTTCTGGTCCGAGAGGAATCAGATACTGTAGAGTGAAAATACTTTTGAGGACCGGGGATAACTAATGACCCAACTATGTCACCTCTCTCCATGAGTGTAGTTTTGAGCACTTCCTCCAAGAGAGGGGCATGACCTTTGAAATACGAGACACATTTTATAATAACACGGGAGCAAGGGGTAACTGAGTAGGATTGACGGCGCGGCTCATCAGCACAGGATGCTCTTTCTCTTCGCTCGCTACCAGTCATCTTCGTAAAACGGCACACCGATTACGTTAACTAAATGCAAGTCACCGGGAGGGGGGCGCTGAGTTACACTTGTCCTCCCTGCTTACTGGGGCAGGCGAGTCTCCGGATCCGAACTGCGGGAATCCCAAACGCGCAGGAGGGAAAGAGGGTTGGGGTCCCGGCTGACGACCCTCGCCAGCTCCTACTCGGACGAGAGGCTCCCCAGCCAGCGCGCGCACCCGCCCCCTTGACAGGTGCGAACAAGAGCTTTGCCCCCCCTTTTTTTGCCACCATCCAACTCACCCAGATTGACGAAGCTCATGACCATGTCGGCGTCGCTGAGGAAGGCGCTGTCCTGAGAGCTGGCCAGGGTGGGCGATGGGCCGTGACTGCCGGGATAGCCCGGGTGGGGAGAACTAAGGAGCGTTTTGCCGTGCAAGGGCTGCGCGGCCGTGGGCTCCCGGCCGCTCCGGCGAGCCTCCCCTTCTTTTTTGCCTGAGACCTCCTCCTCCTCCTGCTCCTCCTCGCTGGAGAGGGAATTGTACAGATCCAGCATGAAGAGCGGAGCCGAGTTCAACCTCCCGGGCGAAAAGAGCCACTGTTGTTGTGGCCGCCGCTGCTGCTGCTGCCGCGGCAGGGGCGCTTCTTGCTCTTCTGGGTGCTGCACTTGGAACCCATGCAAGGGCCGGGGGCGATGAGGCAAGCCCAAGACGGACAGGATCTCCTTCTGCATCTCCCGTTTTTCGTGCGACTTGAGGCGCCGGTAGAGGAAGCCCGCCGGCGAGGAGGCGACTGGCG